TATTACACTGAAATTGCAAAGACAAAGTCCCATCAAATAACATTAGAAAACACTTAAGAAATGGTGGAAAGACAATCTATCTTCACAATTTCTCTAATAAATCCTCACTATTACAAGTCAATCAGGATGGTGAAAGTATCACTCTTTGATTAACAGACAGTTTGTATTTTGGCAGACACCTAAAGATAATGTAAAAAAAGAGTGTTAAGTAACCAACATGGCCGATTGACATGGTGAAATGGAGGTTGTCGAAGGCAAGTGGCATGGGATATATTTTAATCAAAAGATTTAAGAACAGACTAAGCTTCTTAGACGCTGCTGGTCAAGATAGGTTAGGTACTTCATAATCGTTTTCTCAACCTCCACAATAAGTAGCCTCCTCTGGATACGAGCAACTCTGCCCCTGCCTTCTGCTCTTGTATCCTTAATTAAAATAAAAGATATCAGATGCCTTGCAGAATGAAAAATAGGCCAGAGAAGCTTAATATTGCTGATTCTAGTGAACACAAGAATAGAATAGTTAGCTGGAAGTTTAAAACACAACAAGAACCGAAAGATGGGGAGAGAAGAAGAAAAATGAAACAAAGAAGCTATTTGTCTCAAAACCATAGCATAAATAACGACTATCATTGGAAGACAAATCAATTTCCCTTACACAATACTAAGTCATTGCATTTTCCTCTTAGCTTTTTGTCTGATTAAACTTGCTAGTTTGGTTGAAAGATTTATCTTTCCCTTCCATATTTTAATTAGAGAAATGTTTAAACATTTAGAAGGAAAATAACGAAATTTCTAATTCACCGTATAGGATGCTTACCTGTTTTAACCATGCGTAGACTGACATGATCAAAATAAGAGATAGAAAGAATCCAGGCAAAGCAGCTAGAATCGCAAAGTTTATTTCATTTGCCCAAAGAATCTGATCAAGTTCAAGCATTGCCCTATTTAAACAAGCATTTTAAGTAAGTAAGAATATTGAGACAAACTAAAATGTCCATGAAATTGAACCATCTATGCTAAGATATTTAGCTTCTGAACCTGCAAAATGACAAAAAGAACCACATACCATGTGACTACAATTACAGGCAGCAAGTGTGTAACAAACTAGAAAATATTACCTGGATGAACATTGCGTGAACAAGCTCTCCACCAAGGAGATTCTGAATAGGATGTGTAAGTTCCTTCCCTTCACACCTGCACTGGCACTTCCCAAAAACTTATGTTCCTTTGAATCTCAAAAATTCAGCTGAAAAATACACGTACTAATATTTCACCTTACAGTAGTGCTTAAAATATCAAGCAAAAAGAGAAACAATTAATTCTGGAGTATTTTAATAGTATTTAAATGAAAAACTGCTAAACATTTTACAAGCTGAATAAAGGTTCAAGGAGTATTTAAAGAATCATCAGTTCAAGAAGTAGATCCCACCTGTCCATAACCATCTCAAGAGTTTCCTGATCAGATGAATTAGCTGGAAATTTTTGACCTTTTGTCTGCTCACTGAAGGCTAACAACATTCTATGCAGCATAGTAATAATCACATTAAGTAAAAGCAACTAAAATGACTACAACTTTGTAGCCAATCAAAAAGAATTACAAATAATCTCCAAAGAAAAGAAAGGGAAAAAAAATTCAGAGATGGAAAGAAAATCTAAATTGTTAATGCTAAACTGCCGTGTAACTCTAACAAGTGCTTTAGCAAGGCTTCAACACAAACCACTTAAAAAATAAATAACTAAGAAAGCATATAGAAGCAAGAAAAGAGGACAAATTGAGAAAATAAAATACTATTATATATTCGTAGGTAAAATGGGAAATAAAATATGAAAACCATATACATGTATAATCTATCACCACAACTGAATAAGCAACAAAAGAAGTTTGCATGGGAATGGGATAGAAGAGGCAAAAGACTGAAAAAAAAAACTTGTGTAGAGAATTTGATGTTAGCTGCACTTCTTCCATTTCCATCACACCTTTGTGCCTCTATCTGAAGGTGTCAAAAAGCTCATCTCTAATTGACAGAAGCTGACCAGAATTTGAATTTGACATCAATTAAATAATTTAAGTTTCCAAAGCTCTAATTGACAGAAGCTGACATAATTTGAATTTGGCATGGTTTCACCGAAAATGTAGGTCGAATTAAACCTACAATTTCTTCACACACTCTTCAACTGACAAGCCCAGCACCCCATACTCACTTACTTGGAAGGATTCGAAGCCGATGACCACAGTCAACCACGTCTGCTTCTCCCTATCTTCGATCGAAGCATCTACATGCAAAGAATTAATATGTGAAGGGAGAAGGAGAGGAACAGAAGGAGAGGACTAGAAGGTTCAATGCTCTTCTCTTTGGGAAGACACATTATTCAAGCCTATTTGGTAACGAGAATAGACACTTTTTATGGGAATAGCTGAGAGCTGGGCTATTTGGTTTTTATTCACGAACTATAAATAAACATATTATATAGGGTGTAACCCGTCAAGTGTCGAACCAGCGGGTGTCCCTATCGTTGTCCGGGCTGGTAATTTCCAATGCTGCGTCCCAGATGAGAAAATCAAGTGGATGTATTGTATTTTAGGGTTTTTCTAGGCTGACGTCTTTTTTTCGTTTGCAAGCAATGTAAGGATAAATTTGAAAGGGAAAAAAATGTATAATTTATATTGTTTCGAATTATAAAATACTAATTATTTTATAAGATTAAGCTTTTTATATTAAGGGTTTCTCATCAGATTATTTTTATTTTATTGTTTAAATTAATTTAAATTGTAAAATAAAATTTAAAATTTAAAATTATAAAATATTAATTTAAGATAATTTAAAATTTTAAGATCATAGTGGGAATAACCTTTTTAACCTCCCTTAAATGGTCGTTATATTTTTAAACCATCCTAAATTAAAATTATAAATTTTCTAAACTGTGTCCTGAGTTAGGTTAAACTCTGTTAGATG